ATTGTTATTATATTATTTTGCATTAGCCGACATAGGCACATTATATTGTTATTTGTATTATTTGGCATTGCCGTCGTAGGCACATTATTGTTATTATATTATTTGGCCTCAGCCGTCATAGGCACATTATATTGTTATTTGTATTATTTGGCATTGCCGTCGTAGGCATATTATTGTTATTATATTATTTTGCATCAGGCGTCATAGGCACATTATATTGTTATTATATTATTTTGCATTAGCCGACATAGGCACATTATATTGTTATTTGTATTATTTGGCATTGCCGTCATAGGCACATTATTGTTATTATATTATTTTGCATTAGCCGACATAGGCACATTATATTGTTATTATATTATAATTTGCATTAGCCGACATAGGCACATAATTTATTTGTAGACTTATTTTTTTGGTGTGCGCCTTGTGGTCCACATATCTCATTTCATTTATTTAATTTATCTATTTACTATATTATTGTTACCATTTTGTTTCTTTCTTGTTGAGCCAAACAGGCTACATTTGTGATATTTATATTTTATATTTCTTACATTATACAGTCCACTTATTCACACCAATTTTTTATTTATTTGTTTTAATTATACTTATTTTTAATACCAGTCCTTCAATAATTATTAAGGCGAACAAGCCAGCCCTCTACTATTGTTGGGCACTTGCCGCGCCGACAATTTTGGTCCTTCGGGCCGGATCAAACGTCATAAATTAATAGTTTAATTACTTTGAGATATTAATATTGCAGCAGTTTGTTGAAAAGGTTCCGTTGTATATTGTTAATTTGTATTATTATTTTTTATTGTGAGATAAGCACTTGTTGCATTTATATAAAATTTGTAATCAGCCATGGCAAATCAACTAAAATTAGCAGTAAGGAAATTGAAGACAATTTACAGCGAACTTGAGTCAATAACACTGTTTGGCACCCTGTACGATACTACATCTGGTAACATCAATGAAGTTCGAGTCCGTATGGAGTGTCTACCTGGTATTTCTGAGCAATTTGAAATATGTCAAACCCAAATTGAGGAACTTGATGACGCTGTTGAGGATGATGATCACATAGCTAAACGGATAGAGTTTAAGGATAAACTATACAGTGCTAAGGCGCTACTTATGCAGTTATTAGATGCCCATTTAAATAGCACTTCAAGTAGCCCCTCATACAGTGAGCTTACAAAATACAAGACTGACACAACAATGAGATTACCACCGGTTGATATTCCCAAATTTGATGGTGACTGGCAGAAATGGACCTCATTTATTGATAGTTTTAATGCTATGTTTCATCATAATGAAAGTCTTGCCCCTGTCCAGAAGTTTCATTACCTCAAGAGCTGTCTTCAAGGTCAACCCAGTGATGTTATTCGTTCAATACCCACCACGGGTCAAAATTATTTGCAAGCCTACCAAGCGCTAACTAACCGATATGAGAACAAAGGAGTTATCATTCAATCGCACATCCGATCATTACTCGACACACCAAAGGTCAGCATTGCATCTGCTACAAATCTACAAAAACTACATCATCATGTAATGTCAAACGTTAATGCACTCAAGGCACTAGAACAGCCTGTAGAAGCATGGGATGCATGGTTAGTTACATTGACTTGCTGTCGTTTGGACAGTGTCACAGTAGGCGAATGGCAACTTCAATACAACAAAAAGGATTTGCCATCGTTTAAAGCAATTGAGGCGTTCCTGTTCAATCGCATTGCTGCATATGAAGCAGGTGACATAAATGTTGGATTGACAACAGAGAAGAAGTCACTTGGCAAGTTCTCTAATCCTAAAGTACACGAGAAGAAAGTATTTTTTGCAAGACCAGCTGACAAAATTAATAATGCAAGTAAATGTATTTTGTGTAGTGAAATTCATAGATTGTATCAGTGCAAAAAATTTAATGATTTATCTGTTCCTGAACGTCGTGAAGCTGTGTCAAGGAATCGCTTATGTTTCAAATGCCTGTATGCCAATCATCAAGCATGGGATTGTAAATTTTCTAATTGTCCTAAGTGTGGTCAAAGGCACAATTCTAAATTGCATCTGGAAGAAATTCCACAGAAAAGTACGCCTGACAAGAACGATGCACCTGGTATATCTGAACAGTCAATGTGTACCACCGAATTTCCAACGCAATCAATGCATGCTTCAGGAAACTCAGTCATACTGGCTACTGCTGTTGTATATGTGAATGATATAGCAGGAGTACCTCAGCCCTGTAGAGCTTTATTAGATTCTGGGTCACAAGTCAATTTCATCACTGATGCTTGTGCTCAATCTCTTAATTTACCAAGAACAAAATGTCATCTACCCATTGTTGGAATTAATTCTATGAAGTCAAATGTTCAAAAGCTTAAACCTGTTGTCGTGTCATCACGTCATAATAATTTTAGTACTGAAATAATTCTGCATGTAATTCCTTATATTTGCAATGAATTACCATCCCATCATTTAAAAAAAGATCATGTGAAAATTCCAGAAATAGTTAAAGATCAGTTAGCAGATCCCGGTTATGGAGTTCCGGGAGAAATCAATTTGTTACTTGGTGCAGAAGTGTTCTACACTCTATTCATTGGTGATAAAATCGATATTGAAAGCAATTTAACATTTCACAAAACTTTGCTTGGCTGGGTGCTTACTGGAAAGGTGTTTAGCAGCCAGTTTAATCACTTTGAAACATCTGCTTACACATGCTTCAACGAAGAAAGTACTAATTCTGCGTTGTCATTACTAGTTACCAAGGCAAATATTCGTCGAAGCGATGAAGAACTAGTTGAAAAGCATTTCAAAGATACTCACTACAGAGATGAGTCTGGGAGATTTGTCGTGCGACTTCCATTCAATGATAATGTTAGTCTTCTTGGTGAGTCCAGTTACATGGCTCAGCGTCGATTTCTTAATTTAGAGAGGCGCTTGTGCAAGGATAAGGACCTAGGCATTGCTTATCATAAATTCATAGCAGAGTACTTGGACATGAATCATATGAATTTGATAAATGACACAGATCCTGGCAAGAAGACTTATTACTTGCCACACCATGCTGTGACGAAAGAAACTAGCATCACTACAAAACTCAGGGTAGTTTTTGATGGATCCGCTCCGTCTAGTACTGGCTTGTCTTTAAATGATGTTCTATATAAAGGTCCCAAGGTCCAACCCGATTTGTTGGCCATTCTCTTACGATTCAGAATGCATGCTGTAGTTATGACATCTGACATCGTCAAAATGTACCGGCAGATTCTTATTCATCCTGATGATCGTGCATTGCAGAGAATATGGTATAGAAAATGTCCTGAACAAGAGTTACAAGAGTTTGAATTACGTACAGTTACTTATGGTACAAAGGCTGCCTCTTTTCTGTCTACCCGGTGTCTAGTGCAATTGGCGGTCGAAGTTAAAGATCCATCGTTGAAACGTGTCATCACCAGTGATTTCTACGTTGATGATTTGCTTACTGGTTGTCCTACTGTTGATGAGTGTTACGCACGATATAAGGCTCTAAACGAAGTTTTAGAGAGAGCTTGCCTTCCGTTGCGCAAATGGTGTTCGAATTCTAAGGAACTAATGTCACTCATTCCCACCAATATGGACGATCCGACGTATCGTTTATGTTTAACCGATCAAGATAGAATTAGTACACTCGGGTTATCTTGGCAACCCAACACTGATACATTTCATTTTGTACTCGGTGCTTGGAATCCACCAGCACATATGACAAAACGGTCCCTCCTATCAGACATTAATCGTATATACGACCCGATTGGGCTCATTACTCCCGTTTTAATTAAAGGCAAGATATTTTTGCAACAATTATGGTTGCTAAAGATGAATTGGGACTCAACATTGTCAGCAGATCTACAAGCACGTTGGGTCAGGTTCTATTCCAGCCTTAAATCTTTAGATAAATTGTCCATCCCAAGGAAGGTCATATTTGATGGCATTGGACTAATTACCTTACATGGTTTCTGCGACGCTTCGCAGGAGGCATACGGTGCATGCATATACGTTCGAACTCAAAGACCTGATGGTACTGTTTATGTCCAGCTACTGACGTCCAAATCCAGGGTAGCTCCTATGAGCACAACCACCATCCCACGACTCGAGTTGTGTGGTGCTCTTCTCTTGTCTGAGCTAGTCGTAGAAGTTAAAGCAGAATTATCAACAATAAATTTCCAGTTTAGTTTAGCTGACATAGTATTGTGGACCGATTCCACGGTGGTCCTGGGATGGATTCAATCAGCTGTACAACTCAAGTCCTTTGTGGCTAATCGCATAACTCAAATTCTGGACAATACTGAAAGAACAATGTGGCGTCACGTCCCTACATCTAGTAATCCCGCAGATATCATTACTCGAGGAATTCATGCAGATGAATTAGTCGATCAAAATCATATGTGGTGGAACGGACCAAGCTGGTTACTGGACACAGATGAATTATGGCCAGTCAGATTACTTCCTGAAGAAGACCTGCCAGAGGTGCGTCCTATCAAATTGGTGCTTGTAGCCACCAATGTGGATACAGGTTTTATTTTAAACCGATGTTCAAAGTGGTTAAAACTAATTCATGTAACTGCATATGTGCGTAGATTTATATTCAACTGCAGGAAGAACGATAATAATCAACATCTTTGTCACACTATTTCATTAACTATTCCTGAGTTAAATGAAAGCAAGCTATGGTGGCTACGTCGAGCCCAGGCACAAGATTTTAACTCAGAAATAAAATCCTTGCAAAAGGAAATGTGTGTCGGTCCCCGCAGCTGTCTTAAATCGCTCAACCCATATCTTGATGATGATAACTTGATTAGAGTTGGAGGCAGGCTAACTTATGCTCCAATATCCGAACGTCGAAAATGTCCAATTGTGTTGTCATCTAAAAACTCGATAGTTAAAATGCTATTTCATCATGAACATATTCATTTGCTTCATATAGGTCCTCAGGGGCTTCTAGCTCACATTCAAAGGACATATTGGCCCATCAGAGGTAGGAATTTGGCTCGACAAACTGTGCATAAATGTATTACCTGTTTTCGCTCCAAGCCACAATTGCTTCAACCTGTCATGGCTCCATTACCATCAGTCAGGGTCACGCAATGTCGGGCCTTTGAAAATGCTGGCGTTGATCTATGTGGTCCCATCAATGTTCGTAGTGGGCTAAGGAAAATTACGCCGCTGAAGCATTACATTGCTGTATTTGTGTGCATGGTTACGCGTGCAATTCATCTGGAGCTCGTGCGAGACTTATCCTCCGATGCATTCATGTCCGCTTTATTTCGTTTTATTTCCCGCAGAGGCCAATGCGTTAAACTGTACAGTGACAATGGCACGAATTTCACAGGTACTAAGAAGGTTCTTGATTCATGGGCGTCCAAATTGTTAAATGAGACTAATTCCAATGATCAGTTGTCGAAATTAGGCATTGAATGGCGATTCATTCCTCCCGCAGCACCTAATTTCGGTGGACTTTGGGAATCTGCGGTAAAATCAGCAAAACAACATCTAGTCAAATCCAGTAATGGTGCTCTCTTAACCTATGAAGAGACAAGTACATTGTTGTGTCGTATTGAAGCTGTACTCAATTCTAGGCCCATTACAGCAATTGCTTCCGATCCAT